TTTGGACATCTGTGAATTATGCGTTAGATATAGGGTGCTTGATAAGAGGCGCGCACAACGAAAACCAGTTTGGACCTCTGGAATTGAAAAACAACGTGTATGAGAGTTGATTCGAACTTGAGAATCATTTCTAACTTGTTGAAATTAATGCAAAAAATGATAAAATAATTCATGCAAAAGTGAGCCAGTGTGTGTTCGTCCATCGAAACGATGAGGACCATGATTTCCCTTTTTCAATGTTAGTTTCTRTGTGTCCGGAGGTGACTGGTGAGTCCAATCCGGGCACGGAAGAAGCGACCACAGTGGTGACACTTGAAGTAGCATGCTCTGTTGGAGTTGAGGTACTGGCTAATCTAGCTTTCCTGGCAGCTCGCTTTTCCTGAGCAGCAAGTGTTTGTGAAAAACAATGAAAAACGCATTTTGGGACGGTATCAATTTGTCATTATTTAGCAGGGAGTTTCTTACTTTCTTGGTTGGGAATCAGAATGTTGTCTAACGAGCTGGGTACGTTTGGGTCATTATATATTTGGTAAATTTTGAAAAGCAGCAAGGAGTTGCACGGAAAATTTARTGATGGAAAAGTATTTTGCTATTACCTTAAAACACGTGTTGGTAATTTGAATTGTAAAATTTCGCTATGGAAAAGCTTCATTACTTTAGTTGATGCATTTACAGGAGGTCATTTTGTTGCCCGAGTGAATGTTGCAAACGTGAGTGGTTTTAGAAATTCTAACACGCACACCGAAAAAAAAACTGAATTAAGTGTGCCTCAAGGCTTTGTTTTTTAGGAAAGTGTGCTTTCCATTTGAATTGCTGATTTTAGTTATGTTTATGTCCAATGTGGCATTCGTGTAAGGTGAACTCGTTTCCTGAGTGAAGGTTTCCGCCAAGACACAAGAGTATTCTACGTGCAAGCACCGGAAAGATATAAAGCAAAAGCATTAATGAAACATTATGGACACGAGTCCACTGGAAAAAATCGCGCGCTTTAAAGGTTGTAAATTTGATGTAAATATGATGTAAGTGTCCAAAATTCTGTAAATTTGTTGTAAATCATTTACATCAAATTTACAGAATTTTGGACAATTACATCATATTTACATCAGATTTACAACCTTTATGGCGCGCGATTTTCTCTCACAAATCATTCAGTATCAAAGCAAAGAGAGCGCCGAAGGGCTGGGTTCGAATTTTACAGTTATTACAGCAAGCTCGGCAATACTTTTAAAACATGACTACACTTTTACTTTAGATATTTTTGACGCCTTATAGATGGATTGGGAAGAAATACTAATATGATTAAACTTTAATATTTTGAAAATATAAAACAGACGAAGGTGAAGAGCAGAAGGGAAAACAAGCGAAGAAACAYGAGTAGAATTTAGTGTCACTRTCTGTCTTAGTTTCTGAGCTCGCTGGGTCGTCGAAAACAGATCTAAGATAAAAGATAAATCAAGCCGCCAATGGCAACACAACTCGAAGATTGATTGTGCAGACGAATACAGAAGGATATAATTATGAATCAAATTATAATTACTTAACGAATAGAATTTTAAATAAACGATTTATGAATATAGTTTTATAATTTAACTTCGGTTCTGGATAAACACAAGCGAGCGCCTGGTGAGATGAATACCACTCGAGCTACAACTATGAGTAAATACTGCCACGACCAGAAGCGCTACATCTGGATCCGAAAAACAAATAAAATCACCGCAAGTGTCAAAAAACAATAACAACTAAATCCCTAAGAAAACTTGGAGTTCAATTATTAAGCAAACAATATAAATTTCAAGACGTAACATTGACTAATATTTCTCATGTTGGTAGGCGAAAAAAAGTTGAGTTTGCCTAATAAAAATTATTCSCAAGGAAAACCAGAATATCAAACAAAATCAAAGCAAAGGTGAAGCAAATCGACGAATACTAGTGATCACATGATCACGTGGGCTTCCAACATAAAGAGCTTAAAGTTACATTATGGCTTCATTTCTCCACATTCATTACTGATGAAATTACCCAAAAACTACTAAGTTTGACTTTTGTTTTAGCCACAAATATGTAAAATTTGCGATCTTTGGGTAAATGCTGCCACGTGTAGTAGCGCTACATCTGACAGCGAAAGACGCAAAAAAATCACCGCAAGTGTCAAAAACCAATAATAACAATCGATGTCTCTAGTCCAATTAAATCAAACAATATAAACTTCAACAAACAGCCAAATAGATATTTACTTAAAATGGATCATCAAAGAATTTGTGGTTTAAACGTATCAACGATTTATTGATACGGTCAATAGACAAAATATGTTTCATTGAAAGTCTTGGTTTTAGTGTGACAAAAAACAATTTTGTTTAAAAAGCAATATCACATGCACCATGAAACAGTCAAATAGTACCCGCTTTAACAAGGCTAATTGTAGGGACAATTTCTTAAAATATCTTAATCTGTMKGAGAGAGAAATTTGTGTTTTTGGTACATTTATGTTCAAGATAACAAAGAAACTGTCCAAGTAAGTCCGCAATGAAATTTTGGATTTGTATCTAGAAGCAACAGATGTGTTACAGCCTGTAAMACATGCCTGTATTATGCAAAAAACACTTTCAAATTGAATTCAGATAGTCTTTGAATGTTGATGTATAAGGAGTGCAAGAATATTAACTTGATTTTAGAGGATGTCAAACAACTGTTATCCCTCCTTTGACGCACAGAACAAGATTTGGTTGWGGAAAACTAGTTTCGTCTTCACTAGAGCTTTTCAACTTTTTCAATTCCTCGATCTACAACTGTTGTGAATTGAAAAGGTTTAGTAAAGTTGAAACTAGTTTTAGTGACAGAGTTAAAAAGGAAGATGCTCTTCACAGCAATAAAACGAAACCTAGTCTTACAATTGATGTTCTGTAATAACGGAGCAATAAAAAAAACAGGTTCCGATAAGTTCGCGAGTCTGAACTCTTATATTAACACGTTCATCGTCCAATGAGAGTGTGTCCAAATTTTTCAATGCGCAAAATCTCATATTTTGCTTTATTCTAACAGAACACCATCTGAAAATGTGGTTCAAAGCTTATGCGATGATTCTTGTGATGGCCCAAATGATTAGTATCATCCCATCAAGCAGGATTACATCCCTTTACAAGTCAAACGATCTCGCGGAAGAAGGCGAAGACTTGAGCCAGACAGTCGAGAACATGAAAMAGATGATGGCAGCGATGGGTAGGCAAGTTCTATTGCAACAACTCTTTGTCGAAGAGCGAATTCGATCCGAAGGYCATTCAGGAGTCAAACAAAAACGTGTGAATGCTCACGGAACCCGTAACTACCATACTGCCACACATTCGGGCGGATCCGTCAACGCCATCCACGACCATTCAAATAACATCCGTACTGTAGGAATGGGGGAGATCGTTGCGGTTCTCAATGGTGTTGAATTCCGAACCAGACACAATGATTATCGTCTCTACATGCCACACAGCACCTCAAAAGAATGGCATGCTACAGAAGACGTACCTTTTCCAGACGTCCCACCTGAAGTATTGAGCAAAGAAGACATCACTGCTCAGATAGACGAAATGAGAGCTTGGTTTAAGGCCTGGAAAGATCAAGATCCCAGTGTAAGAGATTATAGAAAGTACTTTAAACCCCTTCTCTGCTATCTTGAAGGGACGTGGACAAACTCAACAGAAGGCAAAGTAGAGGAGCCTTTCGAGAGTGACAGACATTTTGTTGACGCTAGCAGCTGGTTTGACTTGCAAGAGAAAGTCCGCTTCACCTCRTACGCTGGTCGCAAGGACAACTTAGAGAACTACTCATTCCTTCCAACGAAGATTATGAAAGTTACTGAGGATGGGCATCCCGAGTTTGCCCAGTGGAACTACCGAATTATGTGTCATCCACTTAGCCGAGATCTTCCTCTGAATCGTCTCCGTGTTRTCGATGAGCTTGGTCAGCTATTGACATTCAGAAGAACGTTGGAAGAGCACAGCAAGACGCGTGCCGCACGTTTCCAGATCAATCCCATTGATACAGACAAGTGGTCGGATCGCAGGAACACCGCTAAGTGGTCTCTTCTGGATACTCTCATGAGCGAGGTAGGCTGTTTTGGACGCATTTAGGTTTTTTTAACGGTTGCTAAGATATTTTWTAGATACAATTTATGGTTTTTCGACTAGCACAAATGCATAACATTAATTTTCCATCTTCTGTGCAGTCGTTTCTAGAATTAGAGTAAAAAAATACTATTCAAAATTCATTGATCAAGAGAAAATACAGAATTTTTCATTAATYAGTCGTCGATTTGCACACTATATTTCTGATTGACAGATTCCMGGGAAGGATAATTATGCAGGTGATCTGAGAGACGACGCGTTTGAATTAACAGCATACTCATTGGATCCTGATCATGCAAATGCCCCGCTGAGAGCTGATCGTTACCATCGCTGGTACAGAGTTGACAGTAAGGGAGCGATGGGTTCCTCCACGCGTAAACGTGGTTTCTCCGACGAGCAACTCTTTATGGCAATGAACACGCAACCCAATGTTGTAGGATTGGATTTGACGAACTGCAAAGGTCGAAATAAAAGAAAGGTTTGCAACACCATCAATCAGAAGTGGTCGTACGCCATTCCTCTCGAGATCATCTATTTGACACCATTGAACAGGTGGAATCCCTACGATTTAGAATACAAAGGCGACGCAAAGTCAGACCTGGCCAAAACGGTCGAGGATCTGGAAGGAAAGCGGCGTAATGGTGGACTTACCGTAGACAAGGCATATAATGGCACACACAGCAAAAGGTACTACCTAACACCTGTGGAGTTCTTTTCAGGAGATGAGGTTGGGGCAGACGCAGCAGACACCACAAAGAACACTGCTGGAATACTTGACAAAAAAGGTAAGTCTATCGTTCAATATTCTATACCGAAAACCCATTTCCACGTCACACTCTTCAACCTTGGAGCTCAATCTAAAATTGGGATCAAAGTTTGCCAAGTTTGCTGTTCTACAATGACAGAATAGCCAGCCTTTGTTGAAATCTATCCGCAGTATTTGACCAAACCATTTACACTTAATAGTTATATTAGAATCGAAATATTCAAGTTAAGTTATTGAGTACTATGGATAGTTGTCGAGACCGTTGACACAGTTTTGCAGCCGAAGTCTTTTCAATCATGTCAACATTTTAACATACTCCATACGAGTAACGAAAAGATGACAACAAGAAAAGCAGCGTAGTCCAGCTTGAGATGTTGCTGAATTATGTCTTAATTTCGAAGTGAAATTGTTCAATCAATAGGTATTGTGCGCAAATGTAAAGCCACTGGAACGCGTGTCTTCTTTCCCGAAATTGCCGGTGTTGGTAGTCTTCGTCAGCGGTATCCCATCGTACCTATCCATGGTGAGGGGAGTTCTGTGTGGAAGGAGCTGGAAGCCACCAAAGATCTGATATTAGACTCAAGGACAAATGGTTACATATTCCGAGAGCCATTGCATAGTGGTCCACCTCCGCCGGAGCCTCCAAAAGACATCGAGTTCGAAATGCAAAACGCAGAGGCAGACCCCCCTGGACCTCATAAACATTTYTTCACTTTATCTCCAGAACAGGTAATGTTTACCTCATTTTCTTTATTTCTGTTATAGACGGGTAAAACAGGGGAAAAATGGGGGGAAAAGAAAAAGAAAACGCTTGGATATCAATTACGCATTGCATTTAAATTAAGTAATTGTAACGCGTCATTATATCCTCATTTGGATGCTGATACGAAGGTAACGACTACAGTGGTAGGGCCAAACTACGTCATCAAAAGGGAATTTGGATCGCAAAAAAAAACTGAGTTCCACCTTAAAACTATTTTGATGAAATGGATCGGATATTGCATTTGGTCGTTTAATGTTACGTTGAGTATATTATATACTATATGCAAAGGTTACTGAAATAAAAAATATATTACTGTTCCATCTTAGATTGAGCTTGTGAAAAGTGGAGGAGATTTGTCTRTTATCACAGACGAGCGAGCTGGTCACAGTCACACTTTAAGGCTCAAATGGAGAGAAAAGAGGGATCAGTATGTCATCGGAGAGTGCGATGGAACGACGGTCACATGGGAACAAAACGTCGCATGCCGAGATCAGCATCCAAAGCTATTAGCCAAAGTAGAATGATTAGCCTGACAAGTGAGATTGCCAATGCAACGATGCTAGAATCATGCATACACATAGTACAGGGTTTTGAATAATTTCATGGCTCGTGTAAAGGYTCCATATTATTGTTAGCGTCCTTTCGCAGCCGTTAGGAGACTCGTTTCCAGGTCTCTTCCCCCTAACGTTAACGACTGCGAGAGGAGACTATATGATTGTCCAAATCTTCCYCCTGAGCGTGTGTCCCCCTTCTAATTTCCCCCAAGTGATTTGACAAAAATCAGGAGAAACGCGTTTTTGGGACGATTTGATGATACGGACACTAGGCATAACATTACTACATATTGGTGTATGAATACTAGAAGATTATTGTTTCCTCAATCTATKTCTTTGTTTCTGGTGCCACAGCACTAACTAACCTCGTAGTAATAAAGGAAAATATATTCAGTAAAACTATAGTTAAGGGCGCAGGATTATAGTAAACTGTAGCAAAACGGCAATGCTCAAATAAAGGATTTAAATCATGAAGTAGCAATGTTATTCTTTTTTGCTTTTTATGTAATTTTTTTCTTCTAATTTTGTGTCTGCATATCCAGCAGTTCAAATAAAACAAWATAACAAATATGAACGTATTCTAAACCTCATGTTTAATATTGTGCCAGTTTCGATTCATCGAGTTCCTGAAATTACATATATTAGACCGTCTTCGGAACCCAATTTCTGTCACGTGTCGGTTGAGACCTTGTGTGCATCATGGATGAGATTTTGTACCGTTTTCTATCTTGTTTAATCCCCCTTGAGGACGAAGAATATGCAAAACGCTGCACTTTGCACAAGGCCTGATTATATTTACATCTTATCCTCCTCTTCCCATTGTACATCACTTTTCAAAGCTGATAAATTGTTTTTATAGAACAACGAATTGATTAAAAACAGAAATAGAAAAAAAAAACAAAAAAAACAAAAAAAAAACTGAACGCTGGAGAATTTTCCATATGAATTAAAAAAATAAATGAAGTAAAAAAAATTTATAACTTATTAAAGGTTTTATAAATGCAGCACGATATCCGAGTATAAACAGAATTCATTCATGATCAATGACATGCGAAAACCTGATACTATTGACTTTAAAATCAAAGCTTTAAAAGTATGTTTGCGCATCTCAAACTTCAATTAAAAACTGCAGAGTTTTTTTGATGCCATTTTTTTATATATTTTTTTTCATTTAATTCTTAATTAGTGTTATCAGCTTCTATGTAAAAAAGTTAAAATGTTACGTGCAGCAAACGATGTCCTTTCCGATATAAATCATTTAATTATTGTGTGAAAATGATGAAGTGATAGTGATGAATATATAAGAACTCTATCTTCTTCACTTTGATTAATAGTCCTACGGAGTAAATATTCGAAGACGATTAACTTCAGCCGGTCGCGTTGAGGTAAGATGGAATATTTTTGCTTGTTTTACCTGCTCTGCACATTACTACCCAAGTATACCACACTGAACAGTTCTTACTCGTCTAAATCCTTTCTTCATAACGTACTTGCATAATCCGTTATTTTTTTGCGTACTCAAAGATGGTTGACTTTACTTGTGGGAAACGTTTAATTACTTTTCCGTTCGAAAATGTTTGCAATATTTTTTTTTTATAATAGTATTGTGCAAAATGGCTTTTACCAATACACAAAAAAAGCAATTAAGCATTACTTTAAATGAAGTTTCGCTAAGTTTTTTTTWATCTAAATATGAATGCAAGTCCTAAATATTTGTCACTTCAATTTTAAAATCTCATCTCCTTTAGATATTTTTCTTTTATCTTTTTTTTAAGTCAACTTCACTAATCTATCTTCATCACTTTCAAAGCGAGTGACCGCTGTTTCCCGAAAAGAAAGCTCAAAAATATATTGYTATTATACGCGTAGCTTTTATGCCTTTCCCTTTTTCGAAACATTTGGAAATTTCTCTTCCTATTTTCCCTACTTAGATCAATAGGTAGATAAACAGTTTATTAARGAATATCAAGAGAATGTATATCAGAACCACGGGGTCTGATTTCTAAATGATAGTCTGTGAAAACATTATCTTCATCTCCACCGGGACACAAACAAATTGAAGCCATTGTTTTGTCCCCCAATATGGAGCTCGCCATACATGAACTGAAACCGATTACTTCGTAATTTCAGTTCCAAAGTCGTAAAACAATCGTCATCCCACATACGTGTGACACACAACTTTTTAACAGCGCACAAAGCGGCAAAAAAAAATAAAAAAACAAAAAACTAAAAAAGCGTAGAAAAACGAGGACATGGTAGGGTATCTACAGGCARAAGGGAATTACTCGATATGTCCATTTGGGGAAAGCAATTATCAGCCCAAATACCGCTTGACGTTTTTTTAGCTTGACTCTTAAACAAACAGCTTATCTAACAAGTTTTTTAGTGTCAATATAAAGAAGTACCATAATATTCATTTTCTTACCTCCTACTGCGGTGCATTAAGACTTGTTGATTAACATCTTCCCGGACATACCAACTGTAACATAGCAACATAAACAATAWTTTTTTTAATTGTGAAGCTATAGAAATTTACAAAAGCATTGGAGTTTCTAAAGGAACTARATATATATATGAGATTTGGTTTTGGATGTTTTACCATTTCCTTTTTTTTTTCCTTTTATTTAGAATAACTAATTAAAAGTACATTCAAACCAGCCTTGGGGATGTTATTAGAACACAATAAAGATATCTATCTTAAGCGAAATAAAGCCGTTCTTTTTTATCATATGTGACAATAAAACATATTTGAAAAACGAACGTCATAAAAATCCTATTACGGAGTTTTCAAAAGACACAAATWAATAATATTTTGATACGTTATCATCCTTTTTTGTCATTGCGATGATATATTATTCATATAACTTGATATTGAAATAAATTATATCTTTTATATATCATAAACACCAGAATCAGTCAATCTGGAGGGTGGACTCCATCCTTCCTGCAGGCTGGCCTGAT